TTCCTTGTAAAAGTGTTTCGTATTCACTGAATGATGATGTGAAGTGTTTTAGTTTGTTCCTATTACTGGGCTCTGACAGAATTTTCTTGAGATTTGTCATTGCCTTACGCACACTCTGCGGTAATAGTTCACCAGCATCCAGGATTATTGACTGATCCATGATGAAACTGGCTGTAAAATTTCAGATGATTATTGCTTTGTTGACGGTGATAGTCATAAAGTGATCCGTTTTGTTTGAAATGAAAGCCCGATGTGTTTGTTTACTTTTGGGGGTCCTCGTAAAAAGTGATACGCGAAAAGGAGGTCACACGCGGTGGTTGGGTAAATCTGAGATGACTTCAAACTGATTGATGCATTAGCCAATTGGGGTCAAAGTTGGGTAAACAATATGTCATAATCATTATCCAGGCTCATTCTATCAATGAATATGAAAAGTTATATATAAGACTTGAAAGCATATTCACATTTTTCAAAGTTTTTATACCTTTGATTCTGAAACAAAAATCTCTTTGCATATTCGTGCGTCAGTTTTATTGAATAATTCTCTTTATACGAAGACAAAAGACCATATAATACATCTTAAATACTTCAAATATATCTATTAATTAGATCTTTGTAGAAATTACATAAAATGATTCAAAACTAGGAAATTTCTTGTACATGGAATTCTGTTCCATGTTGATCCTCTCCCTGGTGGTTATTTTCAGTGATGAGCCTGTTTTCTTTTGTTTCGAAGTGTCGCGAGCATAACACCATAAAGGATTTATGACACGTTCTGTGCGGTGCAGAAATTATCCTATTGGAGGAGAGGTACTCAATTGGGACTCCATAAGCTGCTATTCAAGACTCTGTGTCTTAGATCTGTAAATCCCTCCAAGTGAGATTCACTCTCTAAGATTATTATAAGCTATCATGTGAGACCAATATACGGTAAGAAACTACAAAGTGCAGGAGGGACAAGAGATACAGATGGAACATCATACATCAGGTCAAAGACAACTCGTGCATTGGAAATTCCTGATAGTAGTTTCATTTGTATGAAATGGTCGACGTGTCGAACAAATGTGAACTATTGAGGAACCATGAAATTGATTGAATGATACCCAGTAAGGGACGAGTGAGCGTGTGAAAATTGTGTCTTTCTCCCAGATTTTACCTCTTCCCAAGTATTAATACAATAATGTGAGAACTTCATGATTCAGTTGTGACCCGGATACTATATGTCCAATACAAGTTGACCTGTAGTGGCTTCGTTACGGTGAATGCGTTTTTGATCTTCGCTAACGCTCCAGTAAATCTCGAATCACCGCTATACCTTCGCGATTAATTTGTATTGGAGATATGATGTAATCTCTTGATAGCGTCGTGAGAGATTTCATTAAGAACAACAACTGCTGTGGTTTTGAGCATGACTATACTCGAATACACAGGGAAAAGCATTTGTAGTGGTTCAGATATGTGCAGACTAGGCTCCATGGCGTGTTTGTATATAGTTACTAAAGCAACTTAAAGAGTTCTGGCCTACTTTTAACAGTTGATGGGAATTGCAATATCTGACGAGAGGTGGTGTTACTCGTGACAGCCAAAACCTGATGGCAAATGGTCATTGAATGGCTCTATTACCTGGGAGACCATTATCCTTTGATGGCATTATTTGTCGTGATTAGGTATAAGATATACCAGCCTCATGACAACAACACTAATAAACAGCATAGAGTACACAACAAAGAAAATGACTACTACTTAGCTTTCAAGAACAATTATCGCTTTGCAGAATTGTAGCTAGCCCTATTTTCACATGGCGCGGTTCTTCTAAGAGAGGTTGCAGATAAGTTTTAACATACTGTGAAAGTATAGATTACCCCACTAGAGACTCAGTGCATGAGCTTCCCAACTTCTTTAGAGTTAGCTTCAAATGGGGACGAAAGGTCCCTTCAATAGGCCTTATTAAAAAACACATTTTATTCTCTTGTAGTTAGCTTGTTTCACTATAATTGAATATCGAAGTTTGTCAAAGTACTTCGGCCCCAGATGTGTTATCACTTTGTTTAGATGTTCGTAGAGTTTTCCATCTTCTACTAAGATTAATGTTAGTTACCGCTTAACAGCAATCACTACTATTAAAACTGGTATCTACATTTTCAGATGTGACAAGATGAACTCAGTCATTAATAGTTTTAGCTAGTGCTTGCAAAACGAAAGCAGTCTCTTTTGGAGAGTTCAAAGAGACCAAAATTACACTGAAATCTCTCCGTAATTGTTCAAAACTTCTCAGAAATCCTCGAAAATGCCCTCAAAATGCCCTCACACCGTTCTGAACTTTTCAAAAATTTACCCCATATCATAGTTCCAGCATTACTCTAAACAATACACATTGAACAATATTTATCGAAAGTATATGTATCTACTGTTGTACAGTAATTGGGTCAACTCCTCTCCGGTGCTAGTCACAGTGCGATAGCTTCTCTGGTTCCCGTAGTTCTAGCATGCTCAGTTATGGACTTCGCGCGCCGCGCACTCTGCACAGCAACATTCCTATCATGTCTGGTAGGACCAACACCTACACTGTTTGCCTTAAAATGGTCATAGCTCACCAACCAACCATGATATGAACTAGATATGTATATAGCCATATAGTAGATTTTTGGAATTAGCCATCCCAATCATTCAAATGGTATTTTCAGAGCCCCCCCTCCCGCTAAAAATCGTTTTGTGATTTCCAAAAAACCACACCCGAATAGAGACATCACGAAATACCTTAGATCTTCAATAACTCGGCCAATAATGGTCGTATAAACGTGAAAATGACACTGCTGGATTCAGAACACTCTATTCTCCATTTTTAAGCCTCATTTTACTTTTCATATCATGTTCTGCCTCATGCAGTCCATGTGCTCTCATGTGCTACACGTGCATGGTGCATCCAGTATATACATATTCAATGCACTTTTTGATTAGTAAGGTGTGTATATATCCTGCGCTCTCTTGCCCATGTGCCTGATTGTTTTTTTTTCCCTTTGCCTACTTTTAGAGCTGGGCAAAAGTACAAAGTTTAAAACAAACTTTACAAGTGTAAAAATTCTAGAGCAAGCAAACCAGAAATTTTCAAGCGGCCACGGTCCACGCCGACCAACTGCGCCGGGTCCATCGCGATCAACGTGGTTAAGCCTTCTTTTGTAAACAACCCCCTGATGGAAACGGACCGTGAAATTGTAGAAAAGGTTCTAGGCATTTCTGTCTGTATTTCATAAGTTTGAGAAAAGGGCACAGATGTCAGTCCTTCCATCCTACCGCATCTCCCCCCCCCCAAAGTATGTTTCAAACCCCTCCACAACCGGTCCAACTCCACACAGTAGGGGGAGAATCACATTTGGGCTGATGGTTGGAGATAGCGTGCGCCACGCGGGTGTTTTCCAGTTAACACTTGGAAGCAGTGATCTTTATGCCGGTTGAAATTTTTATTCGCAAAAACACAAAAAAATCTCCTGAAACTTTTTTTACATTGTGCAAATTACTGTATTCGGTAACCCTATAAAGTTTTGTCTCCCAACTCTTTCCCCTATTAGTACTGATTTGCGCAAATTTGACACGTTTATGGATGGTTCCACGCTGCTTGTTAGGTTAAAAGGTTGCGACGAAACACGGGGCCTCGGGTGGGAAAGAGTTTCTTTTCGCATGTAGGCTCGTGTGTGAACCGTGCAAATGACCTTTCAAAAAGCGCCACGAGGGGTGTGTGCATGTCCGTTAAGGCAAGAAAAAGAAAAAAAACTTTCTCGAGCACGATTGCAGCCGTTTCAATTGTTGGACAAGCGCATGTTTTGTATGATGATGATGCCCCAAAAAAAACTTTTGTGCCAGGTTGTTATATATAAAAAGCCACAGTTTTGTTCTACTTTAAAAGCTTGCGTTTTGTCCTTTGTCCTTCCTTGTTTATAAACAACATTACGTACCTTTCCCCACTGCCCACCTGTCAAGTCAAGTCAAGTCAAGTCAAGTCACAAAGGACAACAAACGTCCAACACAAAGACAAAACTCTAACGGGAAAGAAAATTGCATTACGTTCTTTAACGGTAAAAGTCATCCTCTTCTCTACACAACAAACTGCATTTTGTCTCCATTCTTTGGATTACCATTCCACACTACATATAGCATACAACACACAACAACTAGACATGTCTGCCTTCAACGACTACTGCATCGTATGCGAGAAGATTTGTACGAATCACGCTGTCTACTGTTCGGATGAGTGCAAACTTAGAGATACTCGCTCGCATTTCCAATTCAACAACAATGTTCCACAGTTGATCTCGCCGGTATTACAACCCAGACAGGACTCGATAGCGTCCATGATGGAGGATGATGGGGATGAGAGTGATGAGCACCCATCGCATGAATATCTGATCAAATCGCCACTGTTACTCTCCTCGACTCTTAAGAATGAGCAGAGCATTGCAGGATTGAGCCTCGACAACGTTCCAAGGGAGTCCACATCAACACCACCGGCATCGTCGTCTGCATCCATAGCCAGCTCATCATCGAGAAATGACCCTCCAGCATCTTGCCCAAAGAGCTCGTCGCATGATTCCTCGCTGGCTGCTTCGTCAAACTACTACAAGAAATGGTTGAGCGTTAGCCATAACTGAAGACCCAGTTATTGCGAGCGTTCACCACCATCTCTGAATCACTCGCATCAGCAACAAGAAACAAACGAACAATGATGACGCTTTTAACGACAAAATAACAAAAGAAAACACGGGCTGAAAAATAGCATGTGACACACATATGAGGAGGTAACCTTCATCGCTATTTAAAGAAGAGTAGCTTTTCATTACATTCTCAACACAGGCTGGAGACGGATTGGACTGAAAAGACAAATGATACATAACATTGAAACACTCTGGGGAAATGGAACCAGGGAACCAAATTGCATTTCTATTTTTTATCCATTACTACATTGTCTTGTAGCTCAAAATTACTCGGCAGTTATAAGGAGGATTTTGAAGTGTTTGTTCAACCAGTTACTCTGAGGGGAGTTTAGAAAGAGCGCCGTCTAACCTCAATAGGGTGGGGAGGGACCTCTTTAGCATGACAGGGGCTTGTGCTGAGCTGGGGAGACCAAGTTCACGCAGAAGTACCCCATCTCTCTCTCTTCCGCCCACCCCGTCCGAGATCAACCGGAGGTGAGATTTGTCATTAGTGTGGGTCTTGATAGTAAAACCTGTCAAATGTCCTACTGGGGAGTATCGGCTGGGTTGTGAAAGGGGAATGTGCAAATCTAGCCTATTGTAGGGTACTTTTAGAGATGCCGAATTGGCCAAACCATCCCGTACAACATGTTCATAGGATTCCATCATTCATATAGTAGCTATAATGTGATTATTAAACCACTGAGATCCGAGATCAATGCTTTTGATATGTACTAAAGAGGGAAAAGCTTTTGTAGTTTTTGCCGATCTTGAGGATTGTCTTTTTATCAAATTTGGAATGATGATCAGTACACAAGATTTTTTCTGGGATGCTACGTAGAACTTGGTGCTCTCTTTGACAACACCATTGCCTCTCAATATTAAAGAAAAAGTGTGCTATTCCTCTCTAATAACTAAGGCTAATAAATGCCTTTCATTGAACGCTACCCCCCCCCCCTGCTTGTGACAGCCCCAATAATGAGGATTTGACAAAGATCAACCCATTACTCAGTCTTTCCAATTCGCCGGAAACTCCACCTTACCACATGAACACCACAGTTTATTTGATTACCACTACTACAACTCCGAGGATATTTTCCTCCACTGACCATATATACAAAGAGCGCTGCGGGTGTCTGCTGCCCCTATGCGTGTTGTACAGCAAAGCAATAAGCTGATCAATCAGCAATTGCTTCAGTTGGAACAATCTGTACTATAAATAAAGACAATACATCATTCTCAGGTTTAAACTCGGAATAAATGGTACTGTAAAGCTTCCGGTGTTGACGATCTGGTCAATTGGATGCGTAGAGAAGGTCTTTGATCTCCGATTACTGAAGATAGTCCAAGTTTTCTCGACAACATGACATTTGAATGGTAAGCTGTGAAATACCGAAACTTTGACCCCAACATTTGGGACTTTTAGATAATTTTTGTCGCCCTGCTTGACAATAGGGTTCATAAGAGGCTCTCAAGCAGAGAATATAGGCCCTTGTTTTGACATTATTGGTGTATTGTGGTGGTTCAAATCGTCCATCTGTATATTTAGTCACATTGCAAAATTAATATTTTTGAGCAACTAATGATATTACATACTAAGTTTGAAGAAGAAGTCCATAGTGTATCAGATAAAGAAACCAATCACTAACTTCTTAACCCATAAAAGTGCGTTAGGCCTCCAGTTTTGAATGATCTTATAAACTATCTGAACCTTGGCTCGAATAATTACCCTCTGGCTGTACTATAACAAAAACTGAAATACAGAAAGCAAGTTTTGAGTGTTCTTTATTACATAAATAACAAAGTCAGCCTCATTGAGAACTCAAAATATAGATATGATCCTTTCAAGTCATTGAAATTGATATTTCATATATTGATGCCTAAATTTGAAGATAGTTTGTTGAGTCTATTTTTTAATAGAAAATTCAACATGACATATTTGCATAATGATATAATTCTAAAATCAAATATTATGTATTATTCCAGTCATTGACATTAAAGAATGTCATATTTGACTCTAATTCATATAAATGTAATTAATTACACAATATCTCTTAGCCTATTGATTGGGAAATACAGGCTGTCTCTTCCAGGTATACATATTTAATAGCAATTTAAGTAGTGAATGTTCGGGTGTTTTACATCATATCAAATGTAGCACCATAATAGTAAATACCACATTGAATCGAATAGCCACCAACATAATCCAGCTAAGATTAGTTCATACTTTAACTGAAATTCCAGATCTCCTTGGAGATGGCAGATTCATGTCAGAGCGTTCCTAATAAGTACCACTCTTCCAGCGTTTAGATCCATCTTCATGTTTGTGAAGGCCCAAGTAATGATAGAGTCCGCAGCCATGATTTTGACCTTTCTGGCACGAGCCTTCGCTCCGCTCTTCTCCCTTCTTCTTCTTGTCTACAGCTTCCTCTCCACCAGTAAATGTTGTGTTATACGGACATTAATCAACGGACTAGCCCTTTTGCATCCAAAACGGGTTGCGGACTGCTGTGAAGGCCATTGACAAGTTCACCACCATGCTGATTTTCATCCCCATCGAGCACCTTAAGCACATTCTCCCCACATATGACAGCCCCACTGGAATTTAACTGCTCAATAAACCGCACATTCTATCGCCAAACCTATGCGTGCGTGCCCTTCAATCTCAACAGATGTACACCTATGGACTCTGTGTTGAGCACATCGTTGCGGCTATCTACGTCTATTGTGCGTCCTACAATAACGGTTATGAACCCGGGCAGTGATAGTTTTTTCTTTCTTTCTTTCCCTGTAACTGCCACAGAAACGAAGAGCGAAATTTGGGCAGTGCACTTCTCCTCCAACGACGGTGGAGGAAATCAAAACTTTTTCTCCCACCTCGGATCTCGCATTGTTTTGATCTTCAAATAGAGCATTGAGCCTAGGAAATTAGCCGCTGGACCAACCGCCCAAAGAGGGTTCGTATATGTGTACTTGCTGAAGACTTAGCGGCCTATGGAGTTTCCCCAGGACCCCACCATCGATCAGTTGATCAGTGTAAGTGAAGTTGTTGATGATACGGAGGACGTCCTTGTCCCTTTCAATGGTTGCCTTTACTAACAGAAGAAACAAACAAGCTGATTGAGATGATGTACACTCAACACGACACCAACGAGATCAAGTCGATCCAGTCTTATCTGCAAACGATACAGAAGTCTGCTAAAGGGTATGAGGTGGCTGATGCGCTGTTGCTGAATGAAGATGTGCCGTTGAACTCACAGTTCTTTGGGGCCTTGACGCTGACGATAAACATCAAACTATCACTGGTCAATGGTGAAGGGTTGTTTGAGGAATTGGCGCGTTGTATCCATTCCTTGCTGTACAGGAACATCAGGTACAAGATGAATAATATATTTGTTGTTAAGAAGATGTTTCAGAATTACTCTCTGGCCTATAGGACGTTTGAACCACCTGCTGAATGGTTGAATCCATTAGCGCTCTTCATCGCTGTTCTACGTTCGTTAGATTCTCAGCAGTTGGAGCTGGACTCTTCCTCCCCGCAAAATGAAGCAATACCATGGCTTGTACAAAACCAGGCAATCAATGAAATCGTTCTCACGTTCCTGTCAACATACGTGGAGGATTTCCTTAAGGACAATACAAACTCAGAGATCCTAATACACAAACGTGTTCAAAACGACATTTTCCCCCTCTGGAAACATATGATGACAACGAATTTGTCGAACAATGTTAATACCAAAGCGTCGTTGAAGACGTTGACAACGTGGTTCCAATATGTATCGTTTGTTCAAGTGAAGACGACGTTAAGATATGATCTAAATGATATCTGGCCAGTGCTGATTGAAGTGCTCCAGTGTACTACTGATCCAGAGATTACAACATTGTGTGTTGAACTGATCACGGAAGTTTTTGAAGATAATCCACTCATGGTAAACTACCAACATCGTTGTCAATTTGATGCGCTGTTCAGTAGTAACTGGTTATTGGACAAAATTGCAGAATACCTAAACAATCAAGACTTTGACTCGTTGAATAACTTAACCAGCCTTATCATTGCATTTTTAGAGATAGATTCTCTTCAACTGGCTTCGAAGTTGTTCACTGCTGAGCAAAGTTCAAAGCTACAATTCTTGGTGAATCTTACAAACTTCCCATCTGTACCAATCATGGAGGAGCAAATTTCAAAGCAGATGTTAGAATTTTGGAGTCAACTTCTTGATATATTCACAGATGACTTGGAATCTTTGAAACAACTGTCAAAGCAAGAATGGCCTGAAGTTGAAACTAATTCACGCCGTGCATTCTTGAGCATATCTCAGATTTATTTCAACAAGATTAAACTAACTCCTGAACTACTTTTACACAGTGACTATCACGATAATAAACGTGAATTCGAATCATTCAGGGTTGACGTTGGTGATTTATTTGATTTGTTGTATACTCAACTTGGTCTTGATCTGTATAAAGGTTTGGCATCGACAGTTGGCTCATTCACAACAACCGTGGAGGAAAAAGAAGCAAGTTATTTCCTATTAGCTTCATTGTCTTCCAATTTCTCGCATGCCAATGATGAACTGGTCCATATTATCATGGACCTATTTGAACAACGATTTTTGGACCGCATTACCGCACAGGTTAATTCACTGGACAGTTCCAAGAGGGATATTTATGCTAGGTATAGTATAAAGTTCTTAGGGGAACTCGGGTTCTTCTTCAAAGAGTGTGAATCCAACAACTACTTGAGACAGGTGATTGACTATCTATTCCACGGGTTGAAGACCTATAAAATGTTGAACCTGACAATCTCCAAGACAATAATGGAAATTTGCGATAGTTGCCGTCTACAACTAGTTGATAATATCAATGGGTTTGAGCCCATGTTGGTTGAAATGATAACAAATAATACAGTTGATCCATTTACAAGAGAAAAACTTGTGCATTCGGTCTGCTGTGTTGTTCAATCTCTTCCAAGTGCTTCCAATCAGGAAATTTATACCACGAATATTATTGGAATGATTGAGACCACAAGCACACCACTTCTCATGAAGGCTGGATCAAATGGTACCTTAACCGATGATGAGTTGACCTATGCTCTATCATTGCTAACGTGTATTCATGAAGTTGCAAAAGGCTTGGAAATTCCAGACTATCTGGAAGAAGATAATGAAGAGATGTTCAACCAGTTGAGAAGCTTCTGGATGAACTATTCGGGATCAATACATACCAGAATCAATCATCTGATACAGTCGTTTGTCTTGCAAGCTGATCATTTATCTCGAAACTCTTTGCTAACCGAGAGAGCCATCGCAATTTATAAAACAGGTCTAGTGGAAGACTTCGGGCCTTTCGCCATGAAATACCAAGATGTAATATCATTCGCTACTGACTTATCAACCAAATGCGATTTAAGCAAAACGCTACCACATCTCTTGGAATTGTGTATTGCCCTGTTCAACTGTGGTTTAAAGTCCAAAAAAGTTCAGTATCAAGAGCCGATATCTAATGAACAGATTACGTGGGTTATTCGTGTGTTTGTCCAATCACATTTTGATTTAATTAAAGAAGACCCGGATTTAATACAGCTGACGGTGACGCTGTTTTCTGCTCTTACTAATGGTAAGCCATCTTACTTACTTTATGAGTCTAAAGCGTTACAACTTATAGTTGAGATGGCTCTAGAACTCTTGGGATATCAGGAGAAATTTGTTATAAAATCAGTTGCAAAATTTTGGAATGGATTTTTAGCACCGAGAAAAGTTACGGAAGAACAGCAGATTGCGTGGAATAAACTCATCGAAGTTGATATTGGGCCTCTGTTGACATTTCAGGTACTTCGTGGAATGTTTGAAACCACGAGAAGCAATGTTGACCAATATTCGTCGATTGTTTCGTTGTTGATTGCTAAACATCCACTTAAAGCTCAAATTTGGATTACTGATTCTCTCAATAAGCTACACAATGAAATGCTAGGTGAAGGTAAGAAGGGCATTGAAAACAGAGACATACTCTCAAAGAAGCTGGCAATCACGAGGGGATCACAGAGAAAATGTCAAGAATTGCTTAAAGATACATGGAAAGAGGTTAACGGACTCGATTGGATCGGATAATTTCTGTCAATACTAGACCTTTCATACCTGTATATATTCGAGAAAGATCAGGGAAACGTGATAGAAATTGTTATTCAACCAGTATGATCATTGTTTCAGTATACAATTATATCTCGAGAAAACATTCAGCACCACTGATAAGATACACCCATGATTTTAGTTTCCATGTCCATTTATTTATAGCATCTATAGTTTATAAATACTGGAAGAAGAACATAGATATGTGGTACCCTGGGATGCTAAAAGTGTCACGTTATCCTCTGTGCCTACAATTGTAGATATTGACTCCAGTGTGTGTGTGAGCCTTGAAAGATAGCCCGTAGCGTACGATACGACGATTGATTCATCGTCTATCACTGTGCTATTGATGGTATTCTTCAAGTCGATTTCGTTCGTATGAGTTCCAATATTTCTCAAATCCCAAGATTTGACTTTACCATTCTCATATGATATTAAAACGTTGAATTCTGATGGTTTGAGAACATCAACAACAGCAGATTGGAAGCCACCAACATTTAGTATTTCCTCCCTTGATCCCAGGTCAAACAAAGTGACAGTCCCACTGTTATGGCCAGCTATTAGCGTCTTCCCCAATGTTCCATGCTCGTAGGAAGATTTGGTGTGCTGAAGCTTCGATTCCCCCTTTGCGATGCACAGGGCCGTCACCCCATCATTCACTGTACGTGATCTCTTAAACGTTGAAATACACATACCTGAGGCACAATCCCACAGATTGATGGTTCCATCAAGACTTGAGGACAGAAAGTTCCTTCCACGCTCAACCATAACGAGATCTGTAATTCTTGACTTTTGAGACTTAAATACACGAGGCGACGAACCGTCCTGTAGATTCCAGATCTTTATTTGAAGGTCAAGGCCAGTAGTCAACGCGACCTCACCCGATGGGAAGAAGCAAGACCTTGTAATTGTGGAGTAATGGGCAGATTTAATCGTTTTCTTCTGACAGCCATCAGCTAAGGACCCCAGTATTAAGGAACCTCCATCGTCACCAATCAAATACCTTGTCTCATCGGGCGATATGTGGAAACTTGTCGCATTCTCCAAACCAGTACCACAGACCCTGCGTGCAGTCTCCAGGACAAATTCATAACCCTTATACTCAACATTATAGTCTCCGGGCTCGGTTTGTATGAAGCGGAGGTTATCGCTCTCAAACTTCACTCCATCATCACCTTCCACTTTTGATACTTGGATAACTTGTTCATCTGTGATGCCATCATCCAGCTGTTCCAGCTGTGTAAAGTTGATCCAAAAGGAACTTGTAGTCTCTCTCAGGTCCTTAGCATCGTCAATGACATCTTGGAAGGAAGGCTGTACGCTGATGTTCATGGCTTTTCCAGAACACTACAGTGCCCTTTGTATACACATTGAAAGACAGAGTATGGGATGAGTTGATGGCCATGGCCATGGCACAACATCCGTACACCTATTAACCCCTGCACCTATTAACCCGTGCACCACATTTGACGCTCAAAGGACGACGCGTCACGAAAAATCGCCACCGACCAAAAAGGAAAATGAAAACAGAAATCGCAATAACACTTACGCGTTTCTCTTCATAGACTTCAAAGCGGTGGAAAGGGCTTTAAGAAACAATGACTGAATACAAGTTCGATACCGATGTTCTCAAGCTGCTGTTCTCCAAGAAGGAATTCTGGCAGAAGAGAGACCCGATTACCCTTCAAGTACTTAACGTGAAAGTCATCACGAACGACGCGGGCAACAGGCTACGTTTGATCTTATCTGATGGTGTTCACAGTACCCAAGCGGTCATCAGACCAGAAGCTGTTCAGTACTGTACTGACAATGGCCTGAAGAAGTCGTCCATTGTTACTCTTGAGAGCTATGAGATTGAAAGAATGGGGAAAGACAACAAACACGTTATAATCATTAGCAGTTTGACCATACTCCAGTCCACTGCGAACAAAGTTGGTGGGAAAGTTGAGCCGCTAGACGAATATTTCCTTCACCATCCAGATGAAGATCTATACCAAGGCAGTGAGGCAGAGGCCACTCCAATCCCTGATAGTGGCACCACCACACCAGCTCCTCAACAACTTCCAGCGAAGAATGTTGTTGCTGCTGCTGCACCTGTTGTTACCGTGCCAAAGACAAATATCATCTCAACCTCTTCTTCTACGTCAAAGCCAAATCAGAAGAAACCTTCAAACATGTACAACCTGGATCAACTTTCTCCATACCAGAACAGCTGGACCATTAAAGTGCGTGTGTCCTACAAAGGTGAGATGCGTACCTGGTCCAACCAAAAAGGTGAAGGTAGACTTTTTAGCGTCAATTTCATGGACCAGACTGATGAGATTAGGGCATCTGCTTTCAACGAGGTTGCTGATAAGTTTTACAACTTTTTACAAGAGGGCAAAGTTTACTACGTCTCGAAGGCAAGAATTCAACCTTCAAAACCACAATTCTCAAATTTGAGTCACCCTTATGAGTTGGCCTTGGACAGGGATACAGTCATTGAAGAGTGTACGGATAACGATGGCGTTCCAAAGATTAACTTCAAATTTGTCAAGCTCAATAAGGTTCAAGATTTGGAGTCTGACTCAATCATTGACGTTGTAGGTGTCATAAAAGAGGTCAATCCAGCTTTCCAGATTACTTCCAGAGCTGGTAAATCATATGACCGTCGTGATATCACCATAGTGGATGATTCCCAATTTGCCATTTCACTGGGTCTTTGGAATAAAGCTGCTGTTGACTTTGATATCCCACAGGGAACTGTTATTGCAGTTAAAGGTGCTAAAGTTAGTGATTTTAACGGTAAGACCTTATCAATGACCCCCTCTGGCACCATATCTGCAAACCCCGATGCTCCAGAGGCTTACTCACTCAAAGGCTGGTATGATGCTCAAGGCCGCAATGAGGATTTCCACTCATTGAAAACTGAAATGACATCCAAAAAGACTTCTATTGAGGACCGTAAGTTGATCATCGATGCACAGAACGAGGAAATAGGAATGGGGGACAAGCCTGCGTTTTTCTCGATAAAGGCCTCCGTCAATTTTGTCAAGACGGATAACTTTAGTTATCCTGCCTGCTCCTCCGAAGGTTGCAACAAGAAGGTCATTGAACAGCACGATGGAACTTGGAGATGTGAGAAATGTGATATCAACCATGCAGTGCCATTGTACAGATACATCCTAACAGTTTCAGTGCTTGATCAATCTGGACAACTGTGGCTGACAATGTTTGAAGACCAGGCTAAGCAGTTCCTTGGTGTGAGTGCTAATGACCTCGTGAAGTTCAAAGAGGAGGAGAACGACAAGTTTGTCCAGATAGTGAGTGCCGTTCAAATGAAAGAATTCGAATTTAGGATCAGGGCCAGACAGGATAATTACAACGGCCAAGTGAGAATCCGTTACAACGCAGTCTCAATCAACACAATTGATTACAGTGCTGAGGCTGTATATTTGGTTGACAAGTTTGACAAGTTACTTGGATAATTGGCAAGTTGTGATTATATCCTCCTTCACTTAGGTGTCTTTTTAACCGATCAATAAACGTACGTTTGTGCATAAGGTACGTGGTCACACACATTCTCGGTCTCAAAAATACGAACTTGAGGTCGACTTTCTGTTTTTGTTCGTTCTTTTTCTTTCTTCCCAAAGCTGCGGTACCCGATAGGCTTATTATTATTAAGAATTTACCATACATTTACGACTCGTTAGATGTAAAAGGGTGTGAAGTCACAAACTTTTACGCAAGCATACACATCTCATACCAGTTGGACTTGTGCTTTACTTCGAATGGTAACTTGTAAGTTGTGAAGATTGAGGTGCAATGTACATCGAGTCCGAGGTCTTTAACACGCCTCGTCAAGTCGTTTATATATCTGTGTATAATGCATATATCTGTGTATGACAGCCGTTTGTTAACATCCTTGGACAAAATGTTCAGAGGTATTGTGTGTCCCCTTCCCTACATATTAGCTGCTGGCTACACTCACGCTATTCATCACTTGAAAAACCATGGTATGATGCGTACATCGTACATACTTCAGAGTAATTGTAGGCGGACGTGGCAGCCTGGAAGGCGAACAAAGAGAAAATATGTATAAAGAGCCACTATGTGAAGGGCATGATGTCTGAACTCGAATGGGTAAAAATTCCCGGATTCAACATACCCGTGTCATTCTTTGTATAATAACCTTTTAACAAGCTCAAGCCATCGATATCATAGGCCCAAGCGGTGAGTTAAGAGTTGGGAGGGTCTCATACGTAGGAAAGATGTTCGTAAGGCCCAGCTCAAGAGATTCAAAATTAGCATTCATTATACAAGCTGAGTCATGACGGCTCTTCCACTCCTTGTATGTTGTATGAGTGTCCTGTACTAGGAGAATTATTGTGCAACATTCAACGTTGCACACGTATGGGAGAGTTTTCGACTTTACAAGATGTATACATGCTACTCAAAATTATGCATAGGAGACAACTATTTCGTTCGACAATGCTAGAGCAGAGGTAGTAATACAGTGCCTCAACCCCAGTGTACTATAGATTGAACTCCTGCATGATGTTCATTGTCATCTTACCCTGACCATATATTTCCCTTAAAACTACAATATTCACCTTGGTGTAGTATAATAGAGGTAACAAGTACAGTTAAGTACCTGTATGGAATGTCATTTACGAATATCTGAAACAAGCCTCCAAATTTAAACATCTCCAAACCCACGAAGCCAGTTTCTGGAAATTTGGGTTGCAGATTTGCCTAAGGTCAAGGAACCATGTCGTGAAGCTCCGGAGTTTTAATGCGGAAGCTCCTCCAAATAACATGGGAAAAAAAGAAAAAAACGCATCCAAGTGCTGAGGATTCTCGGGTGCATCAGGCATGCCGATACGAATCTATCGTCGTTAACTAGTGCTTATAACTTACGAGCTGTAAGTAATACACTCAGTAGTGGGCGACAATAGTCAAATACCACTGAACGATGCATATTTATGCATACAGGCTATGCATGTTCAAAACTCTACACACCCAATGATTCTGCATTCGACACGAGGGAAATTGGAGTTTCTGGTAAAAATTTCCCCGGGTGCTTTTCCCGTTACTTCCAAAAAAAAAAAGGAATGGTTCTGAAACGGTCCCAGTTATCGTCCACCTCCCAAAACTCAATCCTGCTGTTCATGAGTGAGCCAATATTGTCAGCTAAATCTAGGTGATCTTATTTTGCTGACGCATGTCTTTTAATCACGCCTCTTTTCCATTGGGCGCCAGGCTTTGACTTTTAAGCACTATGACCAAATTCGAGCAAATTTGATGGTTACACCGAGGCTATTTGGAATGAAGGATATCATCAGTTATACATTCTCACATTGAGCGTGGTTGCTGGAGTTTTGAAAAGGTGGACTACAACCCTATAACCTGGAAGGTGTATATAAGGATTTGAGACTTTGAATAAGGAAGTGCGGAAGATATAAACCTACTCGAAAGTTGAAAAGAACTCAGTTGTGGTCACTGGTCACTGGTCAGTGTTACAACAGATCCGGTATGGCTATGCACAATAGAGTCTGTAAGGCGATGGAATGCTGCACGATGCAGAAGTGTTCTCTTGCATGGATCTTGCATATATAGCGCATTGTGCTACATGCATGAATTTCACCTGCTCTGAACTCAACAGTTGGAACCAGAAATGGACAACTACAAAGCCCACACGGAATCTGGCCATGGATCAAATTACATAACAATATATAACAGACTCATATCCATACGTTCTAATATCTCAATGACGTTGATGTTGACATCCATATACTAGAAATACCAACTATGTAGGCCCCCACGTGGGTCGGCGCTGTACATTTTCAACGTCCCAGTCAAGAATCAAGAATCTAGACGCATAAGTAACCCAAGGGGCCGGTAATCCAAACAAAACAAAATCGCCGAAAAAAAAAACCGTACGATTGATATTCTAAAGTCGTAGATTTGTAACAGCAGTGCCAGTACATAGAAATGAATTGCTAATCTATCTAACTGGCCAATTGTTGCATTGGAAATCCATATTAGTACTGGGATAATATAGTGGTACCAAACAAAAATCCGGGACTCAACACTCAGATTCATATAATACGGAAACTTGATTTTATGGTAAGTTCAAGAGGTTGGACAGATATGCGGTTCTGCTTAATATACTTATTGCGGCTCGCTTCAGGGTTCAGCAGATGCGCTGTAAAATATAGTCATTGGAGATCGGAGATCATGGTGCCATATGATATTAGAGTATTTGTGAGTTTTCCGATGATTTTCCGTATGATTGAGTACATGGCTTTGGTTTTATGCTTATCTATATCTCTTCCAGGCTTGTAGGGTAAATTATAGCCCAGTATCACAATTTTGGGTCCTCTGTAAATGCTGGAAACTGAATCTGCCTGTACATTCCTTTTGGTATTGTAGGTCAATAATGATTGATCAAACGAGCTTCGAGCACCACATATATGAACTTTGGCACAAATACGGGCCCAGTTGACTATCGTGCTCCTCACCTTTTGATTAGTAGTTGTTCTGAGAGTCGTCGTTCTTTATAGCGATATCTACCATGGAAATGACGCACAATAGTTGAAACTTGGCATATCAATGGTAATATTATCGTTTTAACACCTTTACTATCAGCTTACCTTACAGCGAAACCTCTGACTATCCAACGTTCGTGTATTTTGAATCTGGTGTTTGGATGTATAGTTGAAAATTTGATTCACAGCAGGTTCATCAAGCTATATTATTATGTATTACAAGGATAAAGAATCAACTATGCCTAAATCTTTTTGTTTAATCTACATGGTAGTGAAAACTAACGCAATACATTACATAATGTCTCAAGCTAAACTTGCTATTACAACATATAATTATTTAATCTTAATTGGTATTATAGAACTACATGATTATATGTATAATGAATTATATGTCTTTTATTAAATTTTCTGTACTTTTGAAGGAGAACATTTTCTGAAATAATCAAATTAATGAAAATGAAGAAGATAGACAATATAGATAGATATTAGTTAAAGTTCACCAAATTTCTACTCCTCTATTTAAGAACCCTTTCCTGCTCACTTAATTCAGAAACATGAGATAATAATTTCTTTTGAACAAATGCATTAAGCTATAGTATACTATTTCAATAAGCCAATTTTGAATCATTTTGAGGACAAGACAAATGTTTACATTTTGATCACGCTTGAATTTAGTAAAACAAATAGAATGGAAAACCCTATTTCAATTGTAGGGTAGTTTCAACTTGTGGAGCATTGTCCCTGTCCCACTTTCATTGAAACAAAATGTGGCTGAAGTAGTTAACATGTGTAAATTTCAAGTTATAGTTCAGAAGTGAATTTAACAATAATCTTTATATAAAGGAAGCCTCATTCTTAGACCTTTGTGAGGGTTGAGCAAAGAAAATGCTGATCGTTTCCTTATAAATTTCGATATTTATATATTACATCATCGCATGCTTTTATTAAGCGTGAAATGTGACGAATACGAGAGTACATACATTACCGTTTTTATTGTCCTTAATTTAAAGCAACGACAAAGAACTCACTGAATGCCCAAGATCAAGAATCATTCCTAATAATCCATCAGTGTCTGAGTTCGAAGGAATATAAGTGTGCATATAAGCTAGTCAATGACTCAAGACATACGAAGTTTTGAGAAGCTCTTTACACTGAGATCAATAACTGCATTTTGACAGTTTAAATTTGACTCCCTTACCAACTTGGAGAATAGAGATGCACACAAATAACGCGTAACTATACATTATAACAAAAATCTTCATACTGAGAAGACCTTGACTATTATTCTTAAACTAGACCACTCACATATCACATATCATCTGGTTTTGATACCTTTCTGGATAATAAATAGAGAGGTATGAAGCTTTAAATTGTAAACCAGAAGATACTATCGTTACGGAATATGATTGCTTAAATACAGGTCGATTTGTAATGCTTCGGTACGGTGAATGCCATTTGGACCTCCTCTAACGCTTGGGTAAATCTGGAATTACTGCTACCTTCGCGATCAACTTGTTGATTGAGTATGTAAAAGGTTTTCTGTAGGTTCTTCTTTTCGCGTATTCAGCTTTTAGTCCACTTCCTATTAAAAATAGGCTACGTGTATTATGTATAATATCTTCACGTGCCACAATGTCTACATTGAAGGCCTGATGAAAGAGAAGATGCAGATTGTACTGACCGAAGGTTTATACATGGAAAGTTCGTATATATGTCAGGAGGGATGTTGCGTATGGATGCGCATATTGTGCACTTCTTATTCTATTTCAATCAGAAGTTAGGAAATTAGAACTTACGCTAAGAATTCAGAAGAACTTCGCTAATCCTATTGCATGTCACTTTTGCTTATGTACAAGCGCCTTAGAAGCTCGGTTCGAAGTGTGCACTACTTCATCCAACATTCAATTCTAAACGAACCTGTTTCGCAGGCGTTTCATTCAAATGCACGTTACGAACGCTATGTACCACAGCGTTTGAGCTGATCACCTGTACTAAACACGATTGGATTTAGAACCCTATTTCTTGACAATGCACATAAAGCATCCCCAAGTTACAACGCGTGAAAAGTACCTGTGCATAAGAAAACTAGTACATGGCTGAAAATCTTTTGTTCATATCTAGTCAGAATTTAACAGTTATTCAGTGATTATGTAATTATGCAATTCGGAATTAGGTAATTTACTAATCGGATAGGTTGAACCGTCGTTCCATTCGGGCTCGACTGGGTGCAAAAGAAGTGCATGCTTATCTGCAACTTGCCAACCTCTTTAAGATTGTTCTGCTTATATTGATGACTGGGACCCTTGTTAATTTAGTAACGTCGAATATGCAAGAATGTAATCATTGAACACTTTACTTACTAACAGTATATTGTAGGTAGATATTTTTTGTAGTTTTAACCAGCTCTCATATTGATAGATCTCAGTTAGTTAAATTCACAAATAATTACTTTCAAGTTTTCAGCCTTGACACACTGAATATGCACTCTTTTGCCTTCAATAATTTTGAAAAAAAATACGGAATAGGTACGTACATAAACTTGCATTTTTTCAGATTCATCAAAAATGGTACAGAAATGGACATGGGCTCGAAGTAGACTCCATCATCCTGAGTCTCAACGACTGGCGCACCTGTCCGCTTCAGTTTTATTGTCTAATATATTCGTCATTCGAAAACATTGACCCGATCTAATATTCTTATTTGTTCTATTTCATTCTTTATGGATTTAACCATTTGCTCAATTTTTTATTGGTCAGCCATGACTCAAGTAACCAGGCACAACGTTAACCCCACTGTGTCCATACTTGTAACAACTGTCATATACAAAAGGTGCAAATGATGAGCAGTTGTGATATCAACACACACGCAGCAAACTGTATATAGGTAGGTCCAACACGTAACCAGTAAGAAATAAGATACCTAATTTATTGACTCTTGTAAGGTATTTCTAGCCTCAAAGAGCTCATTTTTAATTAAACCGCCCATGTTTGAGTTCGTCGTTATAGGCAACATTAGATCGATTTCAGGTTTAGTTTTCCTATTACTAGTCCATTTATCCCGACCGCCCAGTCACGCCCCCCTCAGAACCCTAATATTTCGTTGATTTCTCAGAACTGTTAAAGCCTACATCACTAGTTGAAGCTACAAATGAGATGAGGAGGCGCCTGAAATGTGTGTGTTGCAAGTTTTAACGCTGGTCCGCTCATCTATTATTGGGCAAGGCGGCTTAAGCTTCAGTCATCTTGCATGAGGAACATTCACCCTAGATATTGACGATATTGTCTCCTTCCACTCTTTGGCGGAAGATATGCACTATTGTGCATCATAAGTGTAAAACACCATAACCATGCGAGATTCCAGAAGCTGAATATGACCCGCCTTTGTTTTACGCCTGCATTTGGTACACCAAACCCACACCACCGAAATTCGATTAGAATCTTTTGATCGTATAAAAAGAAAAAGGGACCCCCTTGGGCGTTGGGTGGAGTTTCTTTTTACCCAGTTTTTGGTTCTTTTTCGAAGAAATTAAGAATTATTTTACCTATATCACTTTAATATAGATTTCATTTGTCCTTATTGGATACTTAATACAAAGTATTTGAACAGGACTTATCATATACCAAGTTATATCATCAATTTTCAAATTTAACACTTGGTTCTCAAAACGACTTTGATACGTTTTTCAAATTCAAATCCACAGATCCTAAGAGTGCAAAAACCAGAAAAGAAAACTTCTATGAACAAGCTTTTGTGGCTTTTCACAACAGCGCTAGCCTGGTCCTCTTTAACGGGAACAGCGCTAGCTTCTACGCAATGTTCTGACGTTAAAGCTCAATGTTCAGGACTGGATCTGACTACTCATGCCAAGAATGCCAACTTCCCTCTTGCTGACATTAGTGTTTCCAGTGCTAAGTGGACAGGAGGTGATAACTATGACGTTACCATCAAGTTCTCATCTGACGAGTCCATGTCTCTATTCTCATTGAGTGAACTGAAAATCATTGGTAACGTTTACAAGCTTCTTTACTCTAGAAACTCGAAGGTCTATTTGATCACTGATCCTGGTAACTGGGAGGCAACTGTTTCCTTGACACTTACTGCTGATTCTAACGGTAAAGTTGTGATGCCATCCTTCCAGATTCAGTATGACTGGTGTACTGCTGGAGTCACGGACCAGAGTGAATGTAAGAACTGGACGTACGGACAGTCTTACGATTACATGACTGGCTGCAGTGGTCAAGTTGATGCTCCTAACTATGGCTGGTCT